AAGTCACTCACATCACCCTTTCTTCCCCATACTGATGCTCGGTTTGAACTGCAGGAGACTGTCTTGACCATGTCTACATGCCTAAATGCACTAAGTTGCCGCCATGTGATTGGCTGATTAGAAATTAAGTGTTAACGAGCAGTTGGACAGGTGTACCTAATAAAGTGGCCGGTGAGTGTATGTACTCTGTAGGGGTGTTCTGATACAACTTTTTCACTTCCCATACGATACCATTATTGTAGCCTTCAGTATTTGCTGATACCGATATTGATCTGATATTGACACAAAATTGTGCATGACAAGTTTTGCACTCAGCTGTTTGGACTTAAATGAAAAATACTGCCAAACAGCCGACATCACTCCTACTCCTTACTACTTTGTTTGTACCTTAGTACACAATGTTGTTGTGATCTGCATGAGGGATCTGGGCGCTACTAGATAGAGATGCCGGGGCGAAGTCTGGAATGGACTGTTTGTATTGGAGTGCTGATATAAGAGATTTTAGATGCAGGCCGTTATAATCAGGTATTCGTCTATTTTTGTTGATATTGGACTGATATGCGATATCAATATCGTATCGGGACACCCAGAGTACTGTGGCTCATGTATCATAAAATGTATTGTTGTTGTCCTATATATCGTGCCTTGTCTATTAAATCGGTATATCCTGGCCAGTTCCCAGCTTCAGTATAACTTGAACCTGTAGCCCTGAACGGTGCTCCATTGGTTTTCCTGGCTCATCCCTTCTCCTGTAACATCACCGTTTTCGTTGCACTGGTTACATAAGGGAACTCTCAGTCCCAGCAGCATGTAAGACAATTAAACCGCAACAGTCCTACCCATGTAGCCTGTTATGACAGTCAACTCTGATCACTTTCTCTTAATTGACAGGATGCTAATGTAGCCGTTGATTTGAGGTTGGATCACAGCAGTCATTTGAGAGTTTAGTAACTACAAATAATTGAGAGGAACAAAGCTGCCTGGGTTTGATGTAGATTCATGTTGTCTTCTGAGTATTACGCTGTCCTACTTTAAGGTGCTGATATTTTTAAGTTCACCATGCAGTCAGGCTCTGTCTGCCATTTCTTCTAGCATCCGAGCTCTCTTGGGAAGCCCTCAGGTACGAGTTCTTTAATTCAGCGATCACTGAATATGACATATAGTTGGAGTTTTTTGATGTTCCAGGTGTTTTTCAAAGATTTTTCAAATTAAGCATGCTGCAGTTAGAACTTTTAATTTAAAATTGGACTTTGCCTGGTTTGATAAATATTTATGCGCCCATGTTTGGTCATATCAAAGTTTCCCAGAGTAACGATAAACCTGAGGTGAAAAATTAACCATGTAATCACAAATGGATTATGCAAATGAAAGATCAATTGCTTTCCCATGTTTCCTGGAAATATAGAGACTTTGTTTTGGGGGAAAAAAAACCCTTTTGGCCATCAAGGTGAGTTTGCAGAGAGCCAGCGGGGTTCCTCATCCCCCTCCAGCGGGTAACAAGCTTATTTTCCATACGTAGCCAGGTGCATGTTTTAAGATAGAGCCTTAACAGCGTGGCGTGGCGGTGAATTCCAATTGAGCCCGAGCCCAGGTACAATAACGTTATGAATGCAGCGCGTGATGTTGATGGCATCCATATCACACTCTGAGGGACGAGGAAAGAAAAAAAAAAAAAGAGCCTGACATCTGTTTCAAGCACACTCCAGCCTTTACATCTCCCCACAAAGTCATGGGTTGGGAGGCACACGTCTGGCTTTCCTAGATTAAAATGTGTCAACAAGCTTAACTGCAGGCTTTGAAACTTGCCTCTCTGCCTTTTGTAATTCCCTTGATGGTTGGTGGATTTCCATTTCCTTAAGCATATGGTTAACACAATGATACACACAGCCTTTTACATGATAGCGCTGGCTGTTTTCCAAAGCTCTAGGTAGATAGATTTGATGAAAAAATAATAAAAAAAAACACACACCTGATTGATGTTACTTTTAGGTTTTCATTTATGTGACTTTTTCTTTCACTCAACACAATGCCTCACTATAGTCGTACAATGGCTGTGTTGATGGTTGTGATTCAGGAAAATAATAAGTGATGTTGCTTTCCATGTGTATGCTAATCCCACAGAGTGGTCCTAAAGAAAGAGGCACTGTTGTTTGCCATCATGCCAGTGCTTTGGCTACCTCATCCTGTTGGACTTTTTTTTTTTTTTTTTGGTTTAGTTATGGGGATTACTCTTTTGGACGAGCTTTAAAGACTACAGTGGGAAGAGAAGAGGGAGAGGCAGCTGGGCTTAAGGATAGGATAAAACAGTGGAGAAAAAAAGAAGAGGATGGTGGTGTATAAAAGATGAGAAACAGCGAGACAGAGGTGTTCAGTTGCTCGGGAAACATTTCCTTCTCTGTTGCCGTCTCTTCTTTTCATGGCTGAAGGTCAGGATAAATAATCGATAGCATTAAAAAGAGCTCCCTGAGACTCTGTCCCTGTTGACAATTAAAGGCCCCTGAGTCATTAATGTTCAAGTAGCCTGGAAACCCCTTAGCATTGTTCCTTCTGAATGAGGAGAAATCCAATGCAGGCTTGAGGTTTGCCACCATCGGGTCGTGACATTGACTCAGAGGCGGAAAGGCTGGATGATTTTCTGCAACGCTGTTTACACCCCCCAAAAAAAACACTAAAGAGAGGACACCACCTTCTCAGACTGCCCTGCCTCACCCCGCTTGACTTTACAGTTATTTTTAAAGCGGGAAGAAAACGACTCCATCGGCCTCGCTAGACGGAGCACGAGCGAAAGTGGCGGAGGCAGAGACGGAGGGAGCGCAAAACAAAATGTGAAGGCTGGCTCCTTCTCACTGGGCTGTGTCACTATCAATAGTGACACCTTGAACAATTCAGTCAGTGATATTGAAAGTGCTGTGTGTCAGCAACCCTCGCCTGTGACACTCCCAGAAGGCAGCGGCTCCCCCGGTGGCAGGTCACACTATAAAAAGAACAATCAGAGTGGCCTGATGGAACTAATTTCATCTGGCCTTTAATGTTCCCATCCCTCCCTTCTTTCACTCACCCATCTGCACGCACACACACACGTGTACACACATTTATGCCTCCTTGTCTTACCTCCCACTCTCCCTCATGCTCCCCCTTTTGTCTCCGTGTGTCTCTGTTTCTCTCCTGCCTGTCTCACCTCTTCGTACCCTCCTCCTCCTCCTCCTCCTCCTCCTCCTCTCTCGCTCCGTCTCATCTCCGTGCTCCTCTGTTCTTGTCAGGCTTTCCTTTTACCTTTTGCTTTGCAGTCACGTTTCATCTCTGTGCATGACTCATTCTGCTCAATAAGCTCCAAAGTAAGCAGATTTGTCCATCCTCTCCCCCCTCTCTCTCTCTCTCTGTCTCTCCCCTCTCTCTTTCTCTCTTCTCTCCCTCCTCCCTAAGAAGGCTATTGTGATTCATGGAGGAAACCCTTCAGAGCAAATATTCTCCGGGCATTTCATGTATAAACATGCCTGACTTTCTATCACCGGGGGGAGGGAAAAAAATAAAAATGCGAAAAAAAAAAAAAAAAAAAGCTTGGTGTAACACTGCGATTCAGTACGTAACAACCAACAAATGTTTTGATGCATTGGTCTGAGCTGGCCGGTCGAGTTAATGCCAAGTGTGATAAATAGATTAGTCTCTAGATGGTGGCCTGAAACGAGTTTCCCCCATCGCTTAAGGCCGACTTGTCATTCCAGCTAATTTGTTGGGATTTTGCCTGCCAACGGTCCAACTGCTGATGAAAGGAGTCAGCCCCTTTAGCATTTAGACAGAAATAAACAAATTCATACTCTCTATTAATATATATGCATTTTAACTGGATGTGAAATCCTCCGTGTTTGAGTGCCATTGTCAGGATTAAGGGTCAGAAAATGCAATCCGAGTTGAATTAAGGAAAGCAACCTTGGTGTCATACTCACAGAGAGCCCGCTAAATAAAACAGCATTAGCATTCACACATTTGCATAACACTCCTATATATAAATCAAGTGTTGTGGAGAGCTTTTGGAGTGACTAACATGTACAGAAACGCACCAGAATGAGTGGGTTGTTTCAGAGCAAAAGAGGGTGTAATCATCCTGCAACATGGCAAAAACAGAAAACACGGCACGGATTATTTTTGCACCTTTTTCTTCGATGTTTCATCAGCTGCCGGGCTCCTAAATTAAAAGAGATCATTAGGAATGTTGACAATACAACATAACAGGACTCCGGCAGCGCTCAGCAAAAACCGCCTCAATAAGCAATGCAAACAACAACTTCAATTATGCTTTTTTTTTTTCTTCTGTCACACAGCCATTTATTGCCTCAGATGATGTACAGTACTCTGCACTGGGACATACCTATGGAACGACTTGAGGACTTTAGATTAAAATTGATTTTTCCTCCCCTTGGGAAGTGGAAAAAGTCAAAAATTGTTACATGCACATTTATGAAACAGATTTAGTCTGTTGACATTGAAGGCTATTTGATAAGTAATTAAATCGCCTTTACATAAGACAAGGTGACGGGTAACTCTTTGTCATCTCCCCCCCTGTGTGGAGCTTCTCTGTAATGATGATATACAATGCGGAGCGGCGTCTTCTGCGCCTCATACCATAAAGGAATACATCATATTTTGTGGTTGCAGCAGATGATTACGTTACAGTTTGTCAGCTGTGGTCATTTGTGACAATTATCGAAGACTTTCAGAGTGAGATTTTGACAGGAAAGAACAGGAAATATATGCATTCTGCCAATTAATATACAGTTTGCGCCGCAGACTGGAACACTTGGCGGCAGTAGCACCCCCCTCGATTGGCAGGGTCCGTTGATTAATGAGCCATCCCAGGCTCGTAGCCTCAGACGGGCAAGAGGCCACACATCTGTGTGTCACTCAGGTCTGACACCTTCTCCCAGCCCGGCTGCCAGCCGCTCGCCAAGGGATTCTCCAGATGTTCCAAGGTTTCTGTATGCGGCGCAGGGGCCGCTGTCGCCGAATCACCATCCTGACATTGCGTTTGTGACACCTGAGTGTGCGGAATAACTTTCCTGCAAAGTTTAAAGTACATCAAAGGTATTTTTGCTTCAAACTCCTGCGCTAGGAAACCCTTTATTTCTCCCAGATGTTGATTTGACTCGCAGGTGTGCGTGATAAAAGCAGCTGTCTATGATGTCATGTTTCATTTGAGATTAATTGGCGTTGTAAGCTTGATAAGTTCGTCAGCTTTCACTGGAGAGGAAGATGAAATTTCAGCTTCTCTTCCTCCTCCATGAAATAGTCAGACCTCTTCTCAGAACAGGATCTGTGGGTATCAAGTATCAATTGCGTATGATAAAAGTTCAGCAAGCAAAGCTGGGACATTGTCTCCGTCCCCAAAGGCAGGATGATTTATAAAACCATGTCCTCTGCTACCTTTTGTACACCTAGTGGCTTTTACACTGGAGCCACAGCTTCCAAGCAGCTACTGTATGTTGATGTCATTTTTATAATCTCACTTTTCCCTTATTTCCCACAAATAAAGGAGGGGAAAAACTCATAATGGAATTCAGCCAAGGCGTTGGATTATAAATGAGGTCTGCGCCAGGCTTCATAACGTTATTTAGATTCCTGTGTACAGAGACTCGTGTTCCAACTCCCATCAGCACTGCGACAGAATCAAATGTGAATATAAGCTGATATAGGGAAATTGGTTTGTAATGTGCTGATGCTTTAGAGACCCTGTGCAGAGGCAAAAAGGGAGAAAAACAGCACTTCTTTGGCACACGCAGAGTGATGTTTTAATTACTTGAATTGGAATGATAACCAGCACCCTCCCATCCCTGAATGAAACAAATTAAAAGGCTAACACAGAAAGTCACCTCATTTTTTCTTAAAGGAAGGCCCTGCATATCTGTCTCAGTTGAGTTTCTTTATAATATGTTTATAATTCATTTCTGGTGTTTTGAAATTTCATACTTGTTTGATGAGGCGTTTACTTGTATTGTGCAGGGATTTGGAGACAAAGTGTGAGTAATACTGTATGTGATTCAGTTTGTCTGCAGAGAAAGACAAAGACCCGCTGCATGTCTCCCAATATGCTATTTAATGAATACATGTCCAAACCAGGATGGCCAAAAGAAAAACCCCTTTCTGTTCATTACCGAGCCTTTTAAGATTTTCCATTTGATGTTCAAAATGTTGCTCAGCTTTGATCATATACCGCCTGAAAAGTGATGTCCTTCACTTTCTCTTTTCTAATTTCTGCAAGTTGTAGACATGAGTAATCAGTGGAGGTAAACAGACTGATGAAACTTTATCATTTAATAGCACTGTGCCTTCTTATTTATTTATTTTACTGTTTTTAACTCTTAATTCGTGAAAGCCTCACGACTTGATTGATTTCCACCAGCAAGACTGAGGCCAGGGACAACTTGACCACACATGTAATATCAAATTAATCCACATAAAAGAGTCTGGCACGTTTTCTCTCACACTATGACCCATAAAAAGTTTTCAGTAAGAATCCTAAATTGGCAAATATTGTACTTAAAACAGGCTGGTCCTGAGAGTCAGAAAATAATAACACTCACAATATGAGTTCTCTGGGCCTGAGGCATCTTTGATCGGAAAGAAGTGGAACATGATCCTGTCCTGCTATCCAGGAAATTGCTCTGAACTACAAACTTACAAGAATGAGGATAGAAACTCTGTTCACCTTATCCATCAACCTTCAGTGAAGTAATGGAAATGCTCAGTCTGATGGAGTTTAAAAGAAAACAGGCTTGACAGTAAATAAAAATGTCAGTTCAATGTTAATTTATGCTACAAGGAGGCTAATAAAATCCATATTCACTGAATGGAAGAAGAGGGAATATTTTGAATCTGCGTAAATAGAAAATCTGAAAATCATGTCTAAATCAATGTCTTTGTTCATTGTTACTTGGTAGCTGGGTAGGATAATGCCTTGAGAGCTTCACTTTGAGGTCCTGCTCACCTTGTGGCCATTCTAAAATGCATAATCACCTGTTCACCAGACATTATCCCCTTTCTAATCAGTAGTGCATGGTTGTAATTAAACAATAAAGTGACAAAAGTGCTAATGATGAACTATCACACAAAATAGAGTGTTTTTCACCAGCTGACGTATAATCATTTACTTTAGTGAACACTTTGACAGTTTTTTTTATAGTACCTTTGTTTTCTTTCCAGATGAAAAGTCAATGAACTCTCTTGCCTGCACAGTCAATAACTGAAGCATTATGATTACAATGTTGGTAGTTCTGTGCCAGACTTTGTCTTGGCTGGAAGGCAACCGGCGGAGTCTCCAGGAAGTATTTGGTCCCAGCCAAGAAATGGTCTGGCACATAAACTGGACTGGATTATTGTCTTTACACATTTTTTGTGTGAATTAAAAAGATATAATGAATTAATAGTTGAGCTTTAGAGGTGCAGGTAGAGAATTTCTGCTATTTTAGGAACTAACTTTTTAGCTGTAGCACCAAACTCAAATCAGTGAAGTTTTCGTTTTGGATTAAAAATGAATTCGCACTGATTTGTTTCTCTGACCTTTTCTGCCTCATGTATAGGCTATACTCCTCAAAACTTGCCATATGTCATCCCTCAATCTCCTGGCCCAGTTTCCCTCTCCATCCTCACTCTTTTATGAAACCGCAAAAAGGCCAAAAGAACAGGAACCGAATTGCTAACTCAACATGGCCAAAACCGCTGGCAGTAGAAAGAGCTACACAATTACACATTCATTGCGTGTCTTGGACTTCGCCAAACACAATGGAAGTCTTCACAAAAGTAAACCGTTCAAGTTCTTTCCTCTGGGAGACCCCCCTCGAAACAGATTGCGCTCTATATTAGGGATTTTACGATAAACCCTTGAGAAACCCTTAATGCTTTGTCACCAAGACTCAGATGTAATGTGTCCATATAGCTGTTATTAATTATGACACAAACTTTTCCATTGGGGCACAGAGGATAAACAGAGGAGTATAACTTTTGACAGTGTTGTGGGAAGATGAGACAGTCTTTCATCCTTTGGCACAAAAGGACTCATAACTTCAGCACTTTGGCAGCATTGCTTTTTTTTTGTATAATTCTCTTCAAGAATCTAAGAACATTGAAGCAGAGGAAAAGCAGTGTGACATGTCTGAGCTGTTGTGCAGAGATGCAAGACATTTCGTTTTTTCCACCTTACTTGCTGCCGGGTTAACTTTGGGGAATTTTGATGGAGGCAAACATCGCCTTGTTTTGGCAGCCAGACCTTGTACACCTCTGAGGCTTGTCCCGAGAAAAAAAACAAGCAGTGTTCCCCTGCAGTTCCAACCCAATTCACATGCTCAGCTGCATAACATGCAAGCTGAATAGGCTGGATGTCTAATCCATCCATTAAATGTAATTGAGACTGAAACGCTGCATTAGAGCCAGTCTGTAGGATTGAGCTCAGAGACGAAAATTGCAGGGATTATAAAAATCTGAAATATATGTATAAACTTGTATTTTTCCGCAGACTGCAGAAGGTCTCAGTTGAGCATCTAAAATTACGTTGTCAATCGCGAAGCAGCTGCAGACGAATTTTCTGCTCATCTCACTGGCACATGAAGAAAAAAGGATGTAAAAGGGTCAAAACAAGCGCTGTTTGGATGGCTTTCAGGGCCATGTGTCTAATGGATGAGTTTTAATGAGAAGAGGCTGGGACGCCTGATTTAAAAACGCAGTGACAGCCCGTCAGAGGGAAAGCATCCCCCACAAACACCGAAAACTGCACCACCATCATTTGTTGTCACTATGCAGACAAGGTTCGCACTAAAATAGCAGGAAAACTGCAAACAAAGTCAAGTCTCATCCATTTCTTTTTTCTTTTTTTCCTAAAGTTGTCGGCTTTCTGTCAATGGTGTGCTTAAGACTTCGACTTACAAGCCTGTGCAAATGTAAATCTAAACCTCTGGTTGCCGGAGAGCTTTGGGGGATAACAAAAGAACAATTTGTCTGTACAGTACCTTCCCTCTGTGTTTTTTAATGTGGCAAAATTAGCACAGCAGAGGGAAAACGATGCAAAAAATTCAAGGCAATCCGCTGAATGATCACACTGTAAAATGATGGAATGAGATGGTGTAAAGATAAATCATATTATGGATCTCCAGGGTAATACACATTGCAAATGGATAGCCTACTTTGATACTTACATTCCCCAGGAAACACAATCCTAATGTTGTACTGGGGAAGAAATGGGACTATCTTTTTTTGTACTTTTCTGCTGCAAAATGCCCAAATACATTTGCACATTTGTCTCGTCAACTTACATGCTCCCATTCTTCTGTTTTACCTTAAGATCCCGCATTACTTTTTTTCTTGTTAGCAACATTTCTTAGTTGCCTTTTAAGCGTTGTTTTAAATTTACTTCAGAATACATGAATAAAATCACAAATGGTGCCTCTGTAGAGGAGCCTCACAGTGAACCTAGATATATGCAGTAATCTAAGTAGACGGGGATGCCATAATACTAAGACATTGTCCTTAATGGCTGTCTGAATGTTGTCTGAGGGGAGACAGAATCAGAGCCAAGAGATACCAAAACAAACACGGCGAGTGCACCAGGAGAATCAGAGTCACAAACTTTTTTATGAGAGAAGCCATTTTTGACGACCTCTCTCCCCCAATAAACTGTCCAGAGCTGCTAGACACACATAGTAAACCTTTTAATTAAATTATCCTTTAAGGTATTGATAAGTTAACACTCAGTGCGTTTACATGCACAGCTTAATCAGACTAAGCTCATAATTCGTTTTTTTTTTTTACTGAATCGGACTTCTCTCCTTGTCTGCGTATACATGCACCTGAGAAAATCGGATTAATGACGTGAACATGTCCTCCTCCCAAAAACTAGGGGGCGATATTGGTCTTTTCAGCGGCACTGTTTCCGGACCTTTTTTGGAGATGTCCCCATTCCTCGTTTTGCGACCGTCCATATACTTTAAAATGTCCATTTCTTTCATGATGGAAAGCATAACGGCACTCTCCCCGTCGTTCCAAAAGTGGATATTCTTTCACGCTTCAGCCATGTTGCAGTTGCCTCTGAGTCAAAAGCTCTTTAAATGATAGTGTCACTTTTTCTGTTTTTTTTTTTTTGTTCCAGGGTTACGGGGGCGTGTCACACATACACATGCATTGTCTGATCATACTCCGACTACGCTGTTACATGGTAGAGAAAATAGGATTCCCATCGCATTATCTGGGTGTCTTAATCAGAGTTCTCTGACTCCAATCGGAGTTCTCAAACTCTGATTATAGTCAGACTAAGGTGTTTACATGCACTTCAGTTGTCCGATCTTAATCAGAGGCAATAATATGGTTTTCTCGAGTGTCATGTAAAAGTACTGAGTGACCACAAATCTAAGACTTTTACAGGTGTTAATTCAAAGTTCTTTGTCGATTTCCCTGTAGTTCCTAACACAGAGGTGTTTTCAAGGGTTGCTTGGCTTTGTAAATTCAGTATGCATGTAAAGGCAGCGAAAAGTGTGTTTTTCATTAAATGGGACACAGGTGTGTTATTTTGCTGTTTAAGACAAAATACACTTTAATCAGTTGAATACTTTCTGGATTTACCGACTTTAAGGCTTTGAATTGGTTGCAAGTAATGTGAGTGAACTTGCTCCAATCAGATTTTTCTTTGCGCCTAAGGCGGCTGCAAGTATCATCAGCTCAAACTGTGATCTCATCAGATGGGGTCGCCACTGAGGAAAAGCAGTGAAACCTCACCTATTTACCTGGAGGCAATCCATCCTCTTTATCTCATCATATATTTCAATCACAAGAGGAAGCTTTTGGGAACCACGGCAAACGCTTGACCCTCATCAGCCGTCTGTCTTCATCCGAAAGGCAGCTTCACCCACCTGATTGCCCAAATTGTGCTCATCAACAGGAGAAGTATACAAGTGCTGGATAAAGAATAGAGTCTCTCTATCAGGACAAGCTGCTAAGCAGTGCTCTCTAATAACATGTTAGGCAGACTCTCGCAGAAGTGAAAGGGACATAATGGGGATCTCCTTTTCTATTTAGCGCAAACATGCCACCCTGTTAGACGATCAGGTTTTGCGATGATCATTATTACAAGTCCAAACCCCCCCTTTGGCCTGGCACACACGCATACACACTTACATACCCACCCTGGATAAATACGCCATGGGTAATTATAGCGGGGAAGCGTGTCTTAGTGGAGCTGTCAGAACTGTAATTGCTAGAGGGATGGCGGGCTATCGAGAGGCAAAATCATGCCGCAAGTGCGATGCTGGCAGTGGCGAGCGACTTTGATTATAAGGAAAAAGGGGGCGAGAGATGGAGGTTATCACTGAACCCCTTCTCATATCTCTCCCACTATGAACGAGGCTGTCTATTGGATACGAGATAAGCCGAATGCTTAAGAAAAGTGGTGCTGTAAATACTACACATGTATCACCTAGACTGTGAAGTGTCTCCCCCTTTTTTCCCTCTTCTCCATCACTTTTCCTCCCTTTCTCTTTCCAGAGGATGGTCATGCCAGAGTATTTAGCCTAGAGGGATATTACAGAGCACTTGTCAGGGCTTAAAAAGGCAACATCCTTACCTGTATCACATCAAACATGAGACCAAGCACACCTCTCATCTTGTTAGAGGAAATTGCCACGGGTAAATGTGCGCACTCCTGTGCTCACTCAGCTCTGCCGTCATGAATTGGCCATTTCTGCGCCAGAAGCTTTTGGGGGAAGAGGTGGGGAGAGAGAAAGGATTGAACCAGAGCCAAAAATGGGATTTTAATTTCTTAGAAATTCCCATCTGTTTGTGTATGTGTGCATGGGGGAGTAGGAGGACGGAGAGAGAAAGAATACTATATACCCAGGGTGAAGGAGAGAACTGAAATCATGACTTTCAAATGAACACCACGCTGCTTCTCATGGAGATTGCTTGTGAAAATTACAAGTCATAATGTCATCAGGAAATCAATGGGGACTATAAAGGTAATCATAACAGTGGGGTGTGTATGTGTGTGTATGTGTGTGTGTGCGAGCTGGGGCCAAATTGCCACTCGCTTTGCCACTTCCCCCTCTGCAGATAATTGCACTGGACAACCTGAATCAAGTCTATTCATGCTGAAACACTTTACATATATCTCCCCGTGCCATGAAGCTAATTGCATTTCAAAAAGTTATTGTGCCACAACACCAAATATTGATTGAATGCTAAACATGCAATCTGCAAGTGTAAGCAAATAGCTAATTTGATTCCAGTCGTCGCAGGACTAACCTCTTCTGTCACAACCCGGTTTGAATCAAGATATGTGAGTCCCTGCATGGTTAATTTTTAAAATCTCTCCAAATATCTCAATTGTGTGCTTTTGTGCAGGAGAAAATGAGCTTAATTGAAAGTGGCATACAATTGGCCAGCTTTAATCTAGCGTGAAATTTGTCTTCAGCTATCCTTGGCAAGGCCGAGCACCAACTTTGCCACATTATCTTCAGAGTGATTGGATGATTTGTAATTGGTTATGATCATACTGGCATGAGGTGGCTGCTCACCAACACCCCAAAAATCCCAGGTTCTAGAAATGAGGAGATTTTAAAAATGAAATCGAATCAAATTTGGCAAATTCAACAGATAAAATAGGAATTTTAGATTCACTTTGAAAAGCAGTCTTATTCACACGTCTTTAAAATGCTGTGAGGAACTTTAGGTACATGTTGATATGTGTGCCCAGTACATCTATATATCCCAAATTTGTTTCTTTTCTGACAAAGGATCTCTTCCTGCTTAGTTGTAACAGTAAACATGCTTTTAAATTGTTAATATTTGCTTAGGAAGAGGATGTTATCTCACTTGTCTGCTCCCTAGCAACAGTTTGAGGTATTAAAAATGTAAATATTTAAAGTCTTGTTCTTGTCATTCATAATTGGTTTTGTTTTTGTAGGTTAAAAGTAGGAATCACTATCATTTTCATAGTATTTCACGACCAGCTTAAAGTTCCTCAGGAGCTTGAAGAAGTCAGGATTAAAAGGTTATTGCAACACTTAAAAAAATGAAACTTTTTTTACAGCTTGATCTCGATTAATAATTTATTGCTGTAGTTTTTCAAAAGACTACTATGAGTCCAATTAAATGCCCCTTAAAATAGACAGAAACCCCAAACCATTTACTCAGTAAGTGATTATTTCTTAAAGCTACTGAGAGGAACTTAGTTTATGTCGACTTAAATACCTCTTATGAAAACAGTCTTGTGTAAATGTTTTAGAAGATGACAAAGAAAATACTAATAACCAAGTTATTAAGAGTGTACTAGTCATTTGTAAAATGCAAATCAAAGTCACCTTGAGTACACCTAAAGATCAGAAGTCTTTCGCTAGTCTTTACCGTAAATCTCATTAAGGTCTTGTTGAGGTTCACTTATCTGGTGTTAAAGCAGTGCGAAATGTTCAAATGGTCAGAACTCTTGTGAAGTGCAGATATGTTGGCCAAAGCGTGACATTAATTTTTCTCACGTCTTTGGGGTCGTCTTAGACTGAAACTAATGCAAAAATAAGCATGCATGTATGAAATTCAAACGCTCCAAAAAAAGTCATTTGCATCAAACAGGGGGATCTCAGATGGCTGGCGTTTGCGTGTGAGCTACTTCCTGCTGTGCGTTTAGTATCTCATCAGAGATAACTTTGTCTGTTTACTGAGGCTGCGCCGCTTTCTTTCTGCCACATGCCATCTTATTACTGGAAACACTTGTAGCAGCCCTCAACAAACATCATATTTTCACACATGGGCGCCAATAATTGTGAACTCCACAAAGCGTGGGGCGTGTTGTAGAGGCAGGGCCCTCGCCAAAAACGCAGCTGCCACCGCCTGCCGCCTCCCACCACGCGGAAGAAGGGTTCTGTTTGCGTGGAGAGAGATGAAGGGGACGCCTTGCTGTCACGGCAACCTAACCATCTCTGATTGCATTCTTCAAATAGTGTGTTTTCATATGTTGTTGTTTTGAACAGATGTGCTGTTTGAACCAGATAAGAGCTAAAGCGTGATGTGTACATGCATAACACCCTGCCTTTAAATGTTCTCCCTGAATCTTTCTCCTTCTTGGAGCTCGCTTCCACAACAGGTATCACGCGCTTCTCTCTGTTTACAGTATGTTGTAACAGCGGCATGTGAGTTCAAGCCTTTGAAATGGAAACTTCACATGCTCTCTTTCCTCCAGACTTCATTGAAGTCGACTTTTTGTTCAAACTTGAGACCTCATTCGTGTTTCATGATAATGAAGCAATACACAAGACACTGCCTGTGTGATCCCCTCTGTGGAGTTACAGCTCATAATCCAATGCACAGACCCTAATAGTACTATAAATATGACGCATTCAACAAAGCTGGGTTGACGTGTACTGTACTCATGAGGGATTCATCGTCAGCTTGTCTGAGGGATTTCATCAAGAGGTAAACAGGAGGAATGATAGTCTGGTTGTTCGGTTTCTGCTGCTTTCAAAATGCCTTCTTTTCTGTGTACACGCCACTCTTCATTTTCTTACTCATTCAACTACCAGGGGGGCAACAGGCAGTGCCAGGCTTTCAATCATCACAGGACCTGATAGCTGTGAATTGTATTTGCACGCCAAAAATGCACAATCAACAGCGGTTCTTTCTTACTTTTAATCTTCTCTATCACTCCATTTGCTTGATGTGTTCACTTGCAGGTTCCTAGATTGCAGGGAAGACACTGTGTTGAGCATTTAAAAAAAAAAAAGTTCTTCACCTAATCACCTCTGCAGTTCTTATACTGCGTTCCAGTGACCCTTGAGGTCAGATGTCGGAGCTGGGAGTGGCGTTACAACCGAGTTGACGACATTCCAGTTCACAAGACGGAAAACCAAGATGGACACCTACAGTTAGCCATTATTAGCTGTTGTTTACAATTGTCAGTTGTTGTTAGCGGTTGTCAGCTGTTGTTAGCCATTGTTAGTTGTTAGCTATACCAGTTGTAAACAAGACATAATGCAGTATTTTACTCTTATGAACACCATAGCACCGTTTTCACAGTTAGATGTTAGGCAGTACAACTTATACCACTTATTGAATTTCACAAAAACAAAACAGAATCACTAATAAATACATTACAAGAGCTTTCACTGTTACTCTTTACTGTTGATGCAACAAGCTGCTTGGATTATGACGTTGTCGTCAAGTTGGGGTTGGTGAAGATCGTCCGACATTCCGAGGCGGAAATCCGACTTCAGGGGTGTGTTTCAGATGAATTTCTGACTCGGAGCTTGGAAATTCTGACTTCCGAGGACTCCTGAAACGCAACCTTATTTTTTGTGTTTTGGTCAGTGTTTATCATTTATGTTTTGACATTCAAATACATACAGTTTGTTAGTAGAAATTCCTCTGTATCTTCAACTGCCTCAGCATGCCGGTCTGCATGTACACACTATGATTAGCCCGTGTGTTAGCGAGGCATGCCATGTTCAGAGTCTTCTTTTTTAAAGTGGTTGTCACCTCACCACAGTTCACCTGGCTGAATCAGGAAAATGTTATATTCATGAGCCGTGTGCATAAAGTCTTTTCCGACAAATGGTCCTTGTGGCAACACTAAAATTCAGACAGCGAGGGCTGCATGTGGACACGCAAGACACCCCGCTGGGAGACATAAGAAGGCTCCTCCTTTGGCCACAACAAACATTTTTGGAATATGTCAGGGCTGGATTTCTGTGTTTATGTGAAATTGAGTGCACTAACCGGGTCACAGTAGACCTATAAAAAAGGCAAGATTATGCATGCTTCTCTGCATACCAATTATGCTCAGTTTTGTTCCTGATACAAACAATTGGACCAGCATATTATGTGCCTTTGCATATCTTCCATTTCACTGGTGACTATTATATTGTACATTTGTGTGTGGAGTGTTACACTTGTTTTCTTGGCCCAGTGAAGAGATTTTCTTTGAAGCTCTCTAAATGCTGCCGCTTGCTGAAAATGGGCTTTCTGAATTGCCCTTGTGTGCATTTTTCTCAAATTGTGGCTAAGATCTGCTTTTACCACTGTATTATTCTTTGTCAATATTAATCTGACCTTCCACCATATTTTTTCTCACTTGAGCATGAATTAGTTATCTCTTTGTAAGTCACCTTATAGAAACTGACGCACACAGTAACAAGTGGTTGATTGTATGTCTTGTAAAAGGACTAAATTCAAGAGCTTATAACCTCATTAAAAGGTAAAAATAGATGGTTTAAGAGTCTAGATTCAGTCTAGATGCTTTTCGAGGCCTCTGGGTTTTATAAAAATACCCTTGGACTAAAGTTCGATTATGTTTGAAGAAGGATCCCGTTCAACATCAGACAGCGCTGGTCCTGCTCCACTCTTTTCACTGCGATGCTTCATTTGTAATCATTTATTTTAAACTACTTTTCACAATGCGTCGTGTCATAAAACTGACTCACTGAGGGTCAAACAGTGCTCATACAGATAGCACGAATTGCAAACTCCCATGGTAGTGTATTATCTTGTGATTTGTGTATGACAGTCGTGTCTTCTACGTCTCACTTTAGCAACTTAGTTTTATAGGAGATTAAAAAAAAATTTGAATCAAAGTAAAACGTTTGGTAGGATTTTCTGGAGAAACTAGATGGGACTTAAGTGACTAACGGCCCTAAAACAAGCATAAAAACACGCAGAATGGTGTGTGGCCGAAGATCCCAAAAAGAATTGTCTTAAACTAAAAGCCTGTCCGTCCTGACATTGGCACTAGAAGTGCTCTCTGCTGGGATTTGTGAGACAGAGGATCTGTGCTGTAGATGAGAGAAAAGGCCAACTGTGGGCAGCTTGAAGTCTGTCTTACAGTCTTTCCAGCTTTCTGTAAAGTCTCTAATCAGAGCCGTGTGTCGTACTGTCCTCATCACAGACCAATCCCGTCCTCCTCCTCCTCTCCCTGCCCTCTGCTCTGCTGTCCTCATGACCTCTTCTTCTTCTTCCTGATAGATTTTTCTTTATTTTTCCCTCCTCTGCTTTTATGGTCCTCCCCTCTTCTTCTCGATTTCCTCCTTGAGGAGGTCATCCCTTTGCTCTTTGCCAGGCATTCACTCCTGAGATTACCTCTTCATTCACACACCCATGTAGACACCCACCCACTATTCCAACTGTGGGTACACCGTACACATTCACATGCGTACTCACTACTACCTCTTCTGAGTGCTCTGACAGGCATTTGTCCTTCAAACCAGCATTTTATATTTCAGCTTTACTCAATCACCTCCCACGAATATTGGCCTCAAAGCAGGAGGCCCAGGTTCAATTCCAGTCTTTTCCCCTACTGCATGCCATTCCTTACTCTCTCTTACTCATTTCTTACTCATTTCTTACTCTATTGACTGTTATTTATTATATTTGACTGTCTTTATATAGATACATAAACATCCAATAATAGTAATAAATTACAATGAATAATAATTCTAATAATTTAATTTCCCATTGGGGATAAATTAAGTTCTTCTCATCTTATCTGGAAATAAGCAGGAAAAGAGAAGGAGGAAAAAATGTCCAGAAAATCATTAAAAAAAGGGTTGGTGTTATGAGTAAGGGCCTGTGTCCACTAACGCAAACTCTGGTATTCAAAAGTGGGAGTCCTGTAGCAAAAACATCTGACACAGAACCTGGTTTTGTGTGCTGTACACTTGCACACTGAACTGCATTAGTTTTGTGTTAAAAAAACAACTGCTTGTGTAAAAAGAGACATAACACTCAAAATGGGCACAGGCCCTACTGGTTTAGTCTATATTTAGGTAGGGATAAAACTGTACTATAATTCATTGCTGATGTAAAGCACTGCCTGATGAGCATATTAAGAGAGGCAGTCTCACTTTAATACCCCCACAAAATAATATGATATGTAAAATACTCACGGTTAATCCTCCAGCGGTGACTCTTGGACACTTTAACCTCTAATGATTTTTGCACAGCCTCTCCACTGTTGTTCCAGAATAATCCTAGATTCGAGAGTTCAAAACCTCATGCTGCGCAGAAAGTTTGAAAACTTCAAACCAACCAGTCGACTTAGTCTCTATCCATCTGCTCTCCTCGTACTTTCTTCATTCTCCTGACATAACAGCAAGGGCAAATTATGAAGGCATTTGTGGTGCACAAGGCTGAGACTGCAGGTTCAGACAGGTCTGTACAACAGCAGATTAAATAGTGGATGCGCTCTCCAGAGGTCAATAACAAATACTGTGTTCCCTAACAGCATGTTGCCCATCGTGTATTCCGTCTGCAGCTGTTAGTTTTTCTGTCTTCACCTCTGAGTTATTTTGCCTTGATGAGGCCTTATTTAGCTTTTGACTCAATGAGAGATGTCTGCCAAGCATTGTTTTTTAAATCAAAAGGGGAATATGGCTGTGAAAGAGTTTGTTTTCATACTGATCAAGTTCTGTGTTTATGTGTTTCTTTGATGTCTTCGTTTTGGAGTTAAGAAGTCATTATCTTCATATATGTGTTTTCACGTTCTTTCAGTTTGAAAAGTTAGATTTGAGGTTGCCAGACCGTTGAATGCTGATGAAAAAAATGTTGTTGTGAACAACAACTCATGGTAGCACCATATCACAAATTAGGTTTAGGCAAAAAGTTGATGTGCATGCATGGATAAAAGTTTCATAACTTTGACCAAACATCGTTTTCTTGTCATGTACATGTCATATTGTCATGGTTTTTGGCACTAGCTAACTTTTTAAATCTGCAGAAATGCAAGAAACTCCTCTGTGATGGTCTTGCAGCATGCTCTGAAGGACTTGGGCCAAGTTCCTCTTGCATGTAGTTAAAAAAAAGCTATCCTGCTGTCTGGTGAAACACTTAAACCACTGTAGTTTTTATATTTTTCAGAGACTGATCCGTCTGAATTTAACAAGACCATGTGTGAACACTTAGAGCATAGTTTCAAGACGTTACAGTGATGAGCTTCACCTCTGAAATCTGTAGTTTTGATGTTTGCATGTCATTAGGTTTGATAATTCACTCGTGGGACATGAGTTGCATTCTGCCTCAGGCTACAAATTACTATGCATTACACAAACCAGGAGCTTGACTTCAACTTGAATCTAACGTTTTGTCTAAAATCCTACCTTACCTCTTCCATCATTCACATACAATTTTACACAATGAGTTTGACTGGAATTAGTTTAATTCAATCCAAAAAGAAAGTACTCCACACTGCTCATATGTGGCAGGAAGGTCTGACTGCAGTTTGGCTCAAACACTTTATGACACTGTATCAGTTTCCCCATGTGTGCACCTGGCTGGAGATACACCCGGGTCAATATATCATGCCTCATGAGATAGGTCAAAGCTTGGTTTTTATCTCTGCAGTGTAGCTAAAAGCAGATTGTGGCGCAGTATATATTTATGTGTGAGATTTCTGCTCAGGCTGTCATTGGAGGGTATCACACCATACTGCAGCTACAGAGGAACCGTTTGAAGATCTAATGTGTGTTTATGATGGACAAATTCACCAAGACTGGATAGGTGACCTCAGAACCAGCTGTTTCCCCCTCATTGTACAACACGAGCACAAAGCGGAATGGAAGTAATTACTATCCTAGCTTCACCTCATTGAGCCATACTGCACAGTGTAGAACACACTGCTAATGTAATCACACTATGCTACACACTCTTATGGGCCAGGCTTAATGTCGAGTGTGTGTCATTTGAGAGCCTCGCTGTCACAGTAAGAGGTTCCGGCTGGTTTATAAAGGCACATGTTTATTGTATCATGCATTAGGGCCATTAGCCCCAGTGCTAGCTGAACCCAGCTGCCTCCCGGGGTCATTCCTCAATGTGAAAGTGAACTGCATGACATGGCCAAAATTGACTCTCCTCAGAATACTCTATTGCTAATGGACGTCTCCATAATTGACATCAATACCTGGGAAAGAGCCGGTGCGGCTCCGGCTGCGGAAAAAACGCAGGCAGCTCCTATCAGAGGGGCTATTTCTGTCCTCGTGTCTCATGTTTGATTTGTGTTTACATGTGCTACCATGTGGGCAGGAGGGAGGTTCTCGTTCTACCAAGTCATCATTTTCTCCAGTAGTTATTGAGTTGAACCGGGAATCTAATAAAAATCACAAATGCTAAGCTTGGAGCTGGAAATTTCAGCGGTGCAACAGGAGTTTTTTTTTTTTGCGCATAATCAACGGCTCCTCTTCGCTTGCATAAAAAAAAAAGTGAGTAGGAAAACAGTCCCACCAAGCAGGGAATTGAAATCTCTTGAGGCTTCTTCAAACTGCCCATGATGCTGATGCACTACAATATTAATGCTTATGGAGCCCATCAACTCTAATTACGCCTGCCTTGCTCAAATCTAACCAAGAGTACCACTGAATATTAATGTAAAGCAACTCCTAACAGCAACGTCACTTCATCAGTGAAATAACATCATTAACAGCGGTGTGCTCCTGAATAGTGATTGGTCTTGGGGTTTGGAGAGGTCCAAGGTTAGATGAATATGTGTGCTTCGGGATTCCTCTTGGCTTTTCTATTAGATCAGGATGAGGGGGGATTCGCTGTCTTCGAGGAACATAACTATCATCCCGTTCTTCCTCCTGACGGGCCAAATTTAATCAGTACTTGTATGTTTACCTTAATTTATCCGCACACAGAGGAAGCAGCACGCCATTATCATGCAGGGAAACATTTGTTGTCGCTTGATTACGCTAATGGGGAAGCACACACGAATATAAAATGTTGAACGTTATTGAAATTAGGCTTAATTGCTGATGGCATCTCAGGTTAATTTGTATTCCCCCGGTATGAAATGTGTCTGTGTGGGGTGTTTGTTTTTGTGAGCTGAGCTGCATCTAAGTGAGTGAAGATGCACAATACACTCAGTGAATTCACCAGGGTTTTCACTCTTAATTCAGAAAAATAAATAAAGATAAGTTATGTGGAGATGGTGGGGGAAAAAAACTGAATAATGATAAGTGCGTTCCCCCCTATGAGCCCTATTCTTCAGGCCCTTCAGTCCACCATGATGCCGGGTCATCAGGGTACACTGAAGGGTAGGCGGAGTCGGAAGGAAGCACGTTTAGCCGCCTCACCGGGGATAGTGATTAAAAAGCACTTCAGTGCAGAGGCTCACACAATCCAGATGAGGTTTCCCCCTCTCTGAAGACCTCTTTATAACCGGCAAAGAAAAAAAAAAACAGGCTGATCATTTAAAGTGGCTTTTTAATCACTCCATTTGACTGTTATGCTTTTGTCTTTGGCTTCTTAATTATTGATGTTGATGCGTTTCACTTCCCGCCAAGCTCTCCATTAAAGACTTGTTTCTTAATAGTGGAGGTGAAAAACAAAAGATAAAAGAAACGCAATTTACTCCCAGCTTCACTGATGCACACCTGATGTGCAGTGTTGTAAATTAACAAAGGAAATTTACCCGTGTACAAAGAGAGTATCATTGTTATTATTTTTTCCGTTTGATGTTCGGGAAAAACTGTGATTTTTTTTGTTTGTTTTTTTTTTTTAGCTTGACTTAAAGTTTCTGAAAGTTTGAAAGTAAATAGGTATAACAATCATTGCTGAAGTGGAATGTGTAAAAATGATAAAATGACAAGGATGAATCAGAGAAACTGATCAACTTAGGAGTGAGGAGGTCTGGTTGATCTTATGTGATTGGTGTTTTTAAAATGTTTGAAAATAATGTCAACTGTGCTGTAGCACTTTCAGCGGGCTCTACCTGAGCAGGCAGACCATTTTCATAGTTTGAACCATAGATGATAAAGATGATAAACTAATGTGTGATCTGTCCGTGTTCTGCACCTACATGATTAAACAGACAGAGACATCTGTGCTTCTGTTTCTTTAAATGCACTGACTGCAGTGCGTTTTCAGCGGCATTTTGCTGTTGATATTACCTGGTACCTCTTTTTACCCTCAGCTCACCCAGCATGAGGAAAAGATTGCGAGAGAATTGTGTTTATCAGGACCCTCAATACCCCACAGTCACTCCTCTGTTCAGTGTTTTTACGCTGGCTTTGAGATGTGAGGGCAGTTTGGAGTGCATTTCTTCTGTTGTACTGTCTTACCATTATTTCCTCCTCGGTTTGAGACACTCTTGATTAGGGCTGGGCGATACGGCCTCAAATCAATATCATGATATATTGAGCAGTTCACCTTGATTACGATAAATGGACGATAACTACTCCACAAGCTGCTCACCCCCTCCCACATTAACTTCGTCTACTTCAGCCGCCGCTCCAGCCGCTATAACTTTTGAACCATCCTCCATCTCCTCACCTGTCTTTCACTTTTTGTTATGTACTGGATGGGGTGGAGTCCCATCTCTGATGTAGGACAGCGTCTTAAAGGGACATTAGACCATAGCCTACCTACACACATCCAAAACCATCTTTTATTTATTTTTGTTTTGACACTGAATATACCAATATGGGCAAAATGATGTCAGTTATAGTTGTAAGTTTCAGTATCTGTAAATTTTTGGTTTATCACCCAGCCTTACTCTTTATTATCCACCTCACTCCATATCTCTCGACAAAGACCTAGTCTTAACTTTCAGAAAAAAACTTAAAACTAACAGGATTTTAAGACTTCTTTTTGAAGAATTTTGTCACTTGGAGCAACTCTTTGGACAAGGAAGCTTTGTGAATCCTTTTAACAGCAGCAAAACAGCCAACAACTAGCCCACATACCAAAGCTCTTGATTGCAGGTTTTTATGACTTCCATGTAATGTGGCAATGGCAACCTAACATCAGTGAATAAAATACAATGATCCATGACAATTATGTGGGAAACGGGCCTGTGCAGCCATGTGGAAGGGAAAGCAAGGCTGGAATAGGCAGAAGGGGAGAGTTTAGCCTATCTGTGGTAATGTTGGACGGGTCAGGAGGATGATAATGGCTTCAAGTTGTCAAGCAGAACAGAGTCATAAATGTAAGAATCAAAGAAGCAGAGGAAATACCGATTACTCTTGAAAGATGGGAAGTTTTCTTACACAAAGTGTGAACATGCAAGAAGTTTAAGAATAGTTTTGAAATGAAGAAGTGTTAATTTTTGTAAATCATCAAAAACACTTGGGTCAATCTTATTAGTCTTGGTTGAGCTCAATGAAATGAAAGCCACTCCTTCTATTAAAGCTTAGACATGTATTTCATGTCTTCATGACTTACTCAGACTCACATCTGATTGCTGCTTCGTATTTTAGAAGTAATTTCTTCCTGATTTCCCCACAGGGGTGCTCAGATGAAACAACTGCTTCATTACCGCTCTCTCTCTCTTCTCTTCTGCTGCTTTTTCTTTTCTTTTTTTTTTGTTGGAACTTTCTGGAACCTTCTCACAGATGCGTCACATTTTCACACACACACACCTAAGAGTTGAAGTTGACTTTTATTTTATGCTGACCCATCTCTCAGACCTGATGATAGAAATTCTGGGCTATCTTGTTGAACCTCCCATCTGCTCTCCTCTGGTCCCAGCTGAGCGCCTTCATCATCTCAAGGAAGGCCTCTGAAAAGATGTTTACACATGGAGACTGTGTGCATAGTCCTCAGTGCTTCTCTGTTCAAAGGAATCCTTTTCCCAGCTTGCACCGGGGGTCTGGCCTGTCAGGGCAGATAGGCATGCGAGCAGTGACCCGTCGGTCTCTCTGAGAAGTCCAGACTTCACTCGTCTGAAGCCGCAGGGAGGGCGACAGAGGGATGGACTGCGAGTGGGGAACGGGACGCTAAGTTCAAGCTTTAATTTATAAATCTTTGTGGATGTCTCTCAGCATGTCGCTGTGGACGAGGAAAAAAGAGGATATAAGGAAAAGGCGAGTGAGGGAGAGAGAAAATCACTTTCTTTGGCTTGGACAGACGCTTTCAGAACACCTGCTGGATTTGTCTGCCCTGTCTGGTCCAGGCGACTGGAGGACAACCTCAGAATAATTCATTTTACACCTCCTCCGCTGTGGCCTCTGCTCTGATTCTGTTCTCCTTTTTTAAGGAAATACCTTGTTAGCTTTGCCTGAGAGGTAGGTGGATCACTTGAAAGTGGACTTATAACACCTTAAACTCTGGAGAAAAAGCCTTTTTATTTGAAAGATGTGCCAGTGGGCAGCAAGTGACAAATCTTTCAAGAAACTGTACCCGTACATGTGAGTGACACTTTCAAAAACAAGACGAACTGTTATATCCTTTTTTTTTTTTTTTTTTTTTCCTAAAGAAAAAATAATCTACTCTGGAGCATGATTGAAAATGATGCTGGCTCAAGAGCTGTTTTCCATAGTGATAAAGATGGTACTGCAGACAAAAATAGCAGAGTATAGCTTGAGTTTTGAAAACGGGAGGGGTGGTGGAGAGAGAGTGCGGACTGAAAGCTCAACAATAACACAGTAATCTGCAACTCTGACACTTTTTTTGTGCCTCCCTTACTGGGAGACAGCTGCTCTACCTAGCTATTCCCCGGTGGTTTTGATGGATTCCTCCCCTCAGAAGAGGCAATGACTCCCTGGCTTTAACACAGCATGCAGCAAGCTGAGGCCCAGCAGCGTTTACACAGGAATGAGTCTGGGAGATATACCATTGAAGCTAGAATACATTCAGCAGTCCTCCAGAAAAAAAAAAAAAAAAAAAAAAAAAAAAATACACTGTGCAACTGAGAAAAGTTTGATTTCTCACAACATGGTTAGTTAAAAGTTAAAATGAAGCAGAAAGCAAGCGGATTTAAAGCCAAGTCAGTAAAAATATAAAGTTTGGGGGGCTTTTGAAATTAACTTGGATGGAAATGGAACTGGAAATTTTTTCACATTGACTTATACTGGCAAAAAAAAAAAAATATTGATCCTGTGTTGGCAAATCAAAAGAAAAGCTTACTTATACTCAGTGGCTTTATGCAAAAAAAGTCAGTTAAAAAAGACTTTGAAGAGCCCTGAACCACTCAGGTTCATTTTGAGACCTATTCCTCTTGGTGAAAATAAAATTTTCGAAAAACCCTTTATTTATTTATTTTTTTAATTAAAAGTCAAATTTGGATTGGTAAGCCCAGGGGACAGTTTTCTCTTTGTCTCAGACCATTTAAAAAAAAGTTTATTAACGTTTCTGGATCATGTTTGTCCCCTGTTTACCTTATGCACCATGCAGTTTTAATCTTACGCCTCCTACACAAGTATGAAAAGTATGGAAAGGTAAGGAAGTAATTTGATCAAATTCCAGGTCTTAAAAAGTATTGTAAATGAATAATAAAGTATGGAAAAATATCTGTTAACATTCTTTATTACCACAGTTCTAAAATACTATTCTCTATATATTTCCAAAAATAATTCTAAAAAGTAGGGTATGGAAAAGTATGGAAATTCCAACTGTGT